GTTTAAGGGATAGAAGGATATTTTTTCTTATTATTTTCTAAGCATTTCTCATAATGAATATATTATCCATAATTACTGCTGATATTTTTTTATTATCAATAGTTTTTATTATATCTATTATATTCAATGCACTTTGTCTATAGGTTTTGCAGGAATAAAAACTGATTGGAGTGTTACAAATATACAATTTGTTTAATGATCATGAATAATGCTTGACTTATATATATTAAGTTTAATAAAAATCAAATCATGATTATAAAATCTTAATTATATAACTTAAATTAATACTATTCATCACTAATTAAAGTTAAAAACTCTGCTTTATTAATATATTGATCAATTTTAGTTCTAGTATCTATATAAATTTGATTTAGCAAAGATCCTGTTAGCCACCTTCAAGTTGGTAATTCAAAAGTAGAATATATATGTTTGAAAAGAATTTTAATTAGTTCTAATTCGAGAAAGTTAATGGTAAGCTACAATAAAATATAGCTTAAGAGAATAATAGTTCCAATTCATCTTGTTGACTTTTTTGAATAGTTGAAAGATGATCAAAAAATTCTCAACATTATATGATTTCTAAGATACATTTTTTTAATTATTGTGCTAAAAATTATCTCTAAAATACTGTCTTAAAATATTATTTTGCACCTTTAAGCAATTATTACATAAATATGCTTTACATTGGCCTGCGCTTCACTCAATTCATAATCACAGTAATTATACTGAACACATTTTTTAGCAAAGCAATTCACAATTTCTAACTAAGTAAAATGATTCCAAATTCTTTTTTAGATGACACTGTAACAATTTATAAAACCAAAACAAAAATCAAAGTGAAAAATCAAAGCAAAAATTTTTATTTATTATAATTTATTAATAATATGACATAACAAGAATATATTATTTAATTAATTTTAAAAACTACTAAATTAATAGCTCATTGATTATTAATATTATCATTTGAATAATTTATCTCATGCAAGGTTGACATCATTTTATGCAAGGTGTATGAAATTGTGAATGTTAGAATTTGTGATCTTATATGAAATACATCTCTAGTTACAATGCATATGCACTAAAAAAACTTATTTACTTGCTTCACGTTATGTCCAATTATCGTAGTCTGATGGATAATACCATTATTAACACTACACACCAATAATTATTACATTAGAATTATCAATATTTTAATTTTATGCAAAAAATTCTGTTAGTATTAAAGATGTTATCCTGCTTCATGTAATATAAAATGATTTCTTTTTTTTTTGAATATTAATAGTAAGACCATGTCTCTGTCTTTATTAAAATTTAATTTAATTCTCTTACAAAGCAAAGAATATACAGCTCTCTTACAAAGAAAAAAAAATATAACTCTTATACAAAGAAAAGAATATATTTAAACTTCATATCCTAAGATAGCAAGAAAAGAAACTCATACTAAATTATCTGCGGCCTAAACCAAATATAAAATAATTTTCAAATAACTTGTTAATAATAGATTGAATTAATTTTATATAATAAGTAATTTTATTGAAAAGACGCTAGTAGCAAGTCTGATTAGTAGGAAAAAAAAAAACTAGAAAATCAAACTCGAAATGAGTAATCATTTTCAAGCAACCTGGTTTCATAATAAGTTTTTTAAGTATTAAAAATGATAATATTTATTTTTATTTTGCGCTAAATTACTAAGTGCCACTAATGAAATATGTTTCTAAAAGCATTATGAATAAATTTAATTAGTCACATATCAAAAAGTAATCATAGTGATGAGCAAATCTCAATAAGCAGATATGAGCATTTAAAGCAGGATAACATAACTAGTTGTTGTATTTACTTGCAATAGTAATTATCGTGATTTCTGTAGTATTTACTGCAAAAAATTCTGGTAATGTACTTATGGTGGCGCAAGTAATTTAGATATGGTTATGTAATTTAATGTAAAAAATTCGATTATACTTACACGCTATGGTGATTCAAGTGATTCATATATGGTTATGTTAACTAAGGCATAATGCAAGCAAACTTTATTAGATAGATTTGTTTTCAATACATTTCTAAAATATATTACCATAATAGTAAACTAAAATAAGAATTATATTTTAGCAATTTAAAAAAGCATTATTAATTATTGCGTTATTCTTCAATACTATCATTTCGTATATGCTGCTACGAATTTTGTTGAGGAATTTTGTTGAGGAATTTTGTTGAGGAATTTGTTACTCAACAGGCTAAACTTAATAACGGACTAAATTCAATACATTTTGTAATTCCCATAAATCTAAATTGAACCCATTAACTGCCTCAGCAGGGATGCCACCAAGCACACCATTAAAAATTTCAGCGGCAGGAATATGCAATTGATAATCTGAAATACCAGGGGCATTACAAGCAGTTGCCGAAAATCCGAAACCAATCAGGTTAGCGGATGAAACGCCCACGCTATTCAAAAGAAATTCTACTGTATTATGGTTAAGAGGTGCCGTGCCAAAAGATATTGCAATGTCCGGTACTGTCGGATTTGGATTTGTACGTAGATAACGTAGTGCAAGCATTGCCCTTGTACCATCATTGCGAATAGGAAAGATTTTGATTGCAAGATAAATTTGAATAGTTGTTCGTGGAGAGAAATAACCTGCCGAAAGGTCATGTAAACTAGGAATTGACTCACTGTTGCCAACTTCGACAACCATTGTTGGGTACGCACTTGCATCTGAATTAGGTTCTTGACCAGTCGGAGCTCTAGGAAGATTTGGCGGTCGAATAGTAAAATCAGCGGTGTAATAACTATTTGGACCTACAATAAGATCTTCGTTGTCTATACCAATTAATGGATACCAATTACAGATCAAGTGACCAATCTTAAATGCTACTGCTCCATGAGATGAGAGGGGTACTTCATAAGCTTGTACGTTCCCATCAACTAAACGAATTCTAACAGGAAGCTTTCGCTCAGTTTTGCGATGCTTGATATATGAATCGAGAGATACATTTTCAGCGATAATGATCGGTTTCATATTTTCATTTATTTCCATTTTTTCATCTTGTTGAAATGTGAGTAACTGTTCTCTTGCTTTAGTAAGGGGCTCTTTGCTCAATCGAAATGTCATTGGCATATTAGAAGTTGAATTAGAATCTGAAATAGTTGAAACAGTAGAACTAGAACGGGTAAGATACGAATGTCCTGAAGAATATATGTTCATTTTAAAGGAGTATTTTTTCCTTTTAATATTGTGCACTAACACCAGCAGATTTATAAAGAAAAATGGATAATAAGGAAAAAAATTTTTGCGCCTCTCATGATACTTTTATACGTACGTACGTATGTACTTACGTAATGGGTAACAATTATCACATATTTAACTACCTTTTTATGGACAATTTTGGACACAAAAAGTCTCGTTAAATTCAGCGAGAAAAACCGTCACATTAATCCGATAAGTTTTTTTAATTTGGTTGAATATTTGCAGAATTAGATATAATAGGTGACATTAGTGTGGTTATAAAATCGGTAAATCAAATCATAAGTAGGGTTACATATATTATTAATTCTGAGGGACCAAGATGAGGATTTTTTGTCAGTTTTTTAATAATTTCGGAAATTTCGAAAATTAACTATACAGATTGTATTCTTTATTAGTGCAATATACCATAGATTTTTTTAAAAGCAACTACTAAGGGCATTTTTTGAGCGAAGAATATTTTTAAATTATATTTTTAAATTATATTTCTAAATTATATTTCTAAGTTACTTTATAAACTATTATTTTTTTATGTCAAAATTTTTATTAATCGATAGCTTTATTAACAATAGACCCAGTTTTACAATTTTCGTTAGTTTTATGTTTGTCAAATTTAGGTAAAGTTTATTTTACATAGTTAAAGAATTTACTACTTATAAAACAGTATAAATCGAAAAAATGGCTCTATTGCATTAAAGGATACATTTGCTTTATCTTTTTAAAAAAAATTAGACCATTAATTATTATACTAGTTCGAAGTAAATTCAGATTTCATAAAAATATTTATTATATGCGACCTTAATTAATGTTTGATTTTACTAGTTTGATGTCATCCCAAGGTACATTTATTTTACCAATGTAAGTTTTATTGTAACTTACGTAAATTACTTTTAAGTTATGTAAGTTGAACTCGAGCGTTTCTCTAATAATTTTGCACAGCTTCACGAAACCGAATACGATTATAATATCGTAATCAAAATTTTATATCATTTTTTCGTTGAGAATTGTCAACTCAAACTAAAAATAATATTATTGAAATCACTCACTCACACTTCTGTTAAATTTTAATCAAGTGATTAATTATAATTATAATTGGAAATTCACTGCCATATACGTATGCACATGTATACTTTATAATTGGAAATTCGGTCATATATCGATATGCATAATTATACTTTATTATCGCAATAACTTATGTTTAGTTGAATTAGTTGAATATATTCAGTCTTATCTTATTGATAAAAAGGCATCCTAGTTTGATTAAAATTTATTCCATCTGTTTTCAAGGTAACAATTCTAAAGCCTTACAAATTTTTTACACTGATATTCTTGAAAAACATCCTAACTTTGTGTTTGACTGATGAATTTACTTCTATCCATGAAGATGCGTTAATAGCTCTTTTAAATGCGATGATTTATAAATTGATGAATTTTGAATTTGAGATAAGGGGGAAGCGCATGTACCGGACTTACCTTCTGACTTCAAACAATGAACTAAAAGGAATTTTCTTGAAAGGTACACTTGGCAAATGTATTCGTTTAATTCGATATGTTCAAATGTCTAAAAGAAATTGTAGCAAAGTTAAATCTTACTTAAAAACCATAGTACAACAAGGCTTATGGAGCCCAGTCATCCATTTCATCAACTATTTTACCTGCTCGTAAAAGAATTTCCTGATCAACTTTTTGTACATGATGTTCACTTTATTAATCTATCATCTGTTGTCAATTATGAATATTTTGCCTTGGATTGATTGTCATCCGTCAATAAATGATATTACATAAATTTAATTTACTTTATAAAGTGAGCAGAGATGGATTTATCATTTCATAGATTATGCGATAACATACCTGGAACCATGGTTATTATTTAGGTTAATGGCACGAATGAAATACTTTGTGGGTATAATCTGTTAATCTGGTCATCCAATGATAAAAATCATTGGCTAACAACGTTTGATAATTTTATTTTTTCATAAAATTTTAAATTTACCTAATACTGCCATTAGTAAAATTATCCATGAAAGTGATGTAATTGGACAATTTTCTTGTTATTTACCAATTTTTAGCAATTATTTCTTTATGAAAAATGATGATAATAAGATATAGAGGTTATGGAAAATGGTTTAGAGATGATATTATGATCTTTTAATTGAAGAATTTGAAATATTTCAAGTCTTGAAAAGCTGATTTTAAATTTAGACATGTAGTTATGAATACAGAGAATCTTAATATACAATTAAGGGCAAAGAAGTACAAGTTCATATTTATAATGTAATTATTAATGGTATTAGTTTATTAAAACTAAACAATTTCTAGTTTGTATGATAAAAAAGCCTTGTTATTGTTCACAAATGATTTCATGCACCCACTGATTTGATTGAAACCTCCGAATTATTAAGGTCATTAAATTTATATATACTTTTATTAAAATGACTCAAATTAATTTTAATAGTCTGCTCAAAGGTTAGAAAAATAGCTTCAGGATAAAATTAGTCTTGCTTAAACGTTCACGAAGTATTTTTAATTGAGAAAAATAATAATAGTTTGAAGCATAAAAATTAGGATCATTAAAGTAATAAAGTAAATTTTCTAAAGAAAAAAGAAAGCATTGGGAAATTTTTTCAATATAAAAATTCACTATACAAGTTATTTACCACAAATGAGTGCGGGAGAGGGAGAACCCGTTTTTTTAGTAAATTATTTATCCGATTCAGCCTTCTGATCTACAGCATTTCGGCATTAAGGATAGGGAGTATAGCATGGGGGACATTCGAATCCAATGATTTCCAGGATCGACATTACACAAATATTTATATGTGTAAAACCAGAATTTTCGGGTATAAATGAACTAAAAAAAAAAAACTAAACATCCAATACTTTACTAATAAAATACCTTTATAACAAATGTCTTGTCAAGAAACCAAGTTGTATCGTGTTGCATCGCGTTGCATCGCGCTATAAAAGGTAGATCTCTTAAGAGTTGTAGTACTATCTACTGTATCGTAAAAGGTAAGAAAAGTATATTGTACTGCTTAATTCGCAAAATTTAACGTGTTTTTCTTTTTTTTTCTTTATTGTTTCAATTATTAACTTATTACTTTTTATTTACAGACTCTTTTTTAAAGTTATACATGCTTCTTAAAAGATATTTGACATAGTAGAATAATTTAATATATACGAATATACGATAGTATAGCTTTATTAATTATGCAAGATTTTAAGAGAAACTATCGAAGGACGTGTAACTTGTATTAACAAATCTTTTAAATGAGTTTTTATAATTGTAAAATTTCTGTTATAATGTGGATGAATAGTCTGATTTCTTTACAACGCGAGTTATTTTACTTTAAAGCTAAATTATGAATGAAATCATATATACGAGTAATGCCTGTTGATTGACTGGGGTAGTACACAAAATCCAGGTCGGATATTAAGGCTTTGGTAGGTTTAGGTCATGGATAAAGTAGTCCGAGTCTCGTATTCTGTAATTAGTCAATTAGCAAGTACATGAGTGAGCAACAAGGTTGTATAGTA